ACAGACCATTCAGCCACTAGGACCCGATTCAATGACCAGTGCATGAATTCTGAATTCTACCAATTCGTGATTTAGCGCGACCCCGACGACTGTCGTCGGTGGGACATCCATCCTCACACGTGACATCTGGTTGAACCTCACTGGTCACGACTTCTCACTAGAACTGTCAAACAGACAGACAGAGACAGACAGAACTAACTCCAGGAAACTCCGTCGTCCTGTAGCAAGTTACTAGCGTGCATCCGATTAATTTTCTATAGTTTGGTTTGTAAGGGTTAGTTTTGTTTTCAATGGTTCTCTAACTGATATCAATCCGTGATCAACTCGTAAAAGCAAAGCTAACCCTTACAAACCAACCTATAGAAAACTATATAAAAGCTTAGAAGTATAATTATGATGCTAGGCCATGAAAGAAACTGAAGTAATGAATGAGGTTAGTGCAAATGTATTATGTAACAGATTATTAGATTAGATTTACAATTTTGTCTCTCTATTACTGAATTCACAAATATGCTTTCAACTGTGTTTAATCAGCATTTCGTCTTCATCTCTATTGGGACATATCGAAGGAAAGGCGTTCAGTGTAGAGTTACTCCTTTCAGTGATATTATTCTCAAGCTGTACAATCGTATATACATATATCTATGTTTCTTATTTCAAATATCTCTACCGTACATAGTGATTCATGCTTGTTGTTTTTTAATCGTCGGTCGGTGGGTAATTTGACCACCTATTTTGTTCTCGGTGTTCACTTGAAGTCTAGTCTCCATTGTTGCCTATGAGTCTTTGAGCGTGTGTGTGTGTGTGTGTGACCAGTAAGCATCAATCGTTCACGAAGTCCACATCTTCTAAAGTCTTCTTACCAGTCCAACGTGTTCTTGTCTACGCACTCCCTACAACCTGACACATGTTCACCAGTCTACCACATTTAGGAGTATTATAGTTGTTAGTAGGCGGCTTTTTGATTTTTGATTAGAGCTTGAAACCACACAGTATTTTTAGCACAAGTATGGAATTTTCAGCATATGATATCGTTAGCCTAAATTTTACAGTCCGACCATTGATATCAAGTGTGCATCGGCAGGGGATCGAACCCTGGACCATGTGCATGGTCGGCGAGAGTCCTAACCACTGTGCTACCGACGCACAGCTTTTTCCTAACATAGTGAAAATATTCACTCAAACATTTAGAACACGAAAGAAAATTTGAGCAAAGGATATTCTTTTGTGTAAATTCCTCTTCTGGCTCTACAATTACAAATAATCCTAATTTGTGAATCATCGGCAGTACGCACCCACTGGGATTCGAACCCAGGACCTTCCGGTTACAAGGCAAGCTCGTATACCACTCAGCCACTGGGACCCTTTATCTATATACACAGAATATTCTTGAATAATCGTCATTAATAATATTGGCGTGCTTTTTAAATAATATCGATTTGTTAATTAACATCACAGTGGAATTACCACAGTTCAAGAAAGATGATGCATAAGTTATAATAAGCATAAAAATGTAATAGTAAATAGAATATCAAATAAAATTAAGGGAATCTCATTAAATCCTTAATGGCCAAGAGGCTAAGGAAGGTATTTGAGCCAACTTCTTCTTTTAGATACATAGATTAGACTACTTAATTAAGGTGGATTCTATCAGCCAGCCTCAGCAATATGTAATAGACAAACTCTTGAGGTGAAGTTAAGATTAGTTGGAATGCGGTAGATGACTTTGAAAGCAGCCTCGTTAACATCAATCTTGTGTTCTGTATCCACAAGATGAGATAGAATAGAACTATGAATGGATTTTGTTTGTCCCTTACTTAACCACTATGCAGGATAGTGGTGTTTGGAAATCTGACGATAAACACGCCTAATTGTACGACCTATGCAACTAACTGGCTAACTCCACAGGAGCAGTTAAATTGGTGGGTAGATACACACAGAAAGAAGTGTTAAAACTAGACAGTTTATCTCTAACTACTCCTGAAGGCAAACTAGGGGTGGGGTTGGGTTGGTTTTGAATACACAGCATACTTGAGCAGCACTAAATGCCGTTCGTTCCACCGCCACATTACGTAAGCGTTGTGTTAGTGTCTCACCGATATGTTATCATCACTGAGGAATTGAAGTTGTAAGAAGAAGGCTTTCCTTCCTTCGAACTGTTGACTTTTGATGCATATTTTTATCGATGAATTTTTTTTCCTGGGTGAAAGCGTTCTCACTTCATTGAGACATTCATCAGAGTAGAGTAGATTGCTCTTGCTCTGTGATGGACCAATCACTTTTTATTAGATTATGTTTGTATGTCGAAGTCACGAAGCTGTGAATAGATGCGTATACTGACAGTCAGTCAGTCAGTCAGTCTTCTTTTTCTTATACTAATTGTACCGTCCTCTGCTCTAGTCGATAAGGGCGTCCAGGAATTGATATACATGACTCATATTTATGTTACTATTGTAACTAGTGTATTAATAAGCACCCGCATATGAATAATTATTGGCAAGTGGTCTACTGTCGCTAAATCTTTATTTTTAAAGAAGCCAAACGCACGCGCGCACATTTTCTTCTTTAATTATAATAAATTGTGTGACCTTATCTATTATTATTCATCATACCATAATATCAGGCATAATCAGTTGCAGTGCGTGGTGTATGAGTGTGTGTGTATTTTTTCTAATTATTTCGTTGTTTCTAAGTCTTTGGAAAAGGACTTGTGTGTAGGCAGAGTGGTATCTCTCTCGCTCTCTGATTTATCGTATAATTATACAGGTTCTTATTAATAACGCAAAATAGTATTACTTTTTATTAGTATTATTATTATTTGGCCATAATCATAATCGTCGTTTACAGCACCATGGTTACTGCTACTGTAACAACAGAAGACAAGGGCCAGCCAAACAGATCGTTTAGTTAGGATACGAACAGATATTTTTAGATTTTCATGTACATTATTATAGATTATTCTAGGGAAATAAACGCAGTCTTCTGATTGGTGGTTTCTCGCTGAACGTTAATCTTTCATCTCTTTGTGGTCGTTTCTCTGATGGTCAGATAATCTATCTGAAAATTGTATCCGCCTACGCAAAGTTTGCTGTGTGATTGGTTGTTGAGTAGTTAGTCTTTGTTCTTGTTTTTCTCACGACCAATATTGGAGACGTAAACATTGACATAGATTACTGTCTACCGATTTTGGTTAGCAACCAGCTCTGACCATACTACTACAACTACAAATAGAATCTATAAGTCATTGGATTGGTTTGTGGATCAGAAGTGTAGAATCCAAGTTGCACAGCATTTCGTCCTATTTCGGACTCTTCAGATGAATGTACCTACACTAATCACTTATATGAGATTGTGTTCGCATTGAGAGAAGTCTTGAACCTGCCAATGGAGCTTGCTGGTACATTCGGTTGATGAGTCTTAAAGTAGGATGAAATTCACATCCTGGATCCCTTTGCTAATCATCATAACCGACCAACCAATTGATAACAAGTTTGTAGACTGATTGTGATGTGTAGTCACATGATGTCTGCCTTTGTTTTTGACATTCTGATGTATTTTACTATGTGTATATTGGTCGATATTCCATTATAACTCACAATATGCTTTGTCCGTCCATTAACTAACTAACTAAACAGTGTATAACCCCTTTTGTCACATGACATTACAACCAATCAGAATCTATTGATTGTAAGAAAAACTACTGTCTATCTTACTGGTTCATGTATGTGAGTCATTTTCATATATACTCTTGCATTGTACACTTTCGACTGACTCTCTCTTTCACACCTTTCGTACTGTTTGGTACAAGGGAAATAACTGTCACACAAAGTGTGAACTTTGTGTTGTTGTTGTCTACAATTTTGGCTAGCACACAGCTCTCACCACACCACTACTCGCTTTCTGCTGCCATGCTGTGGGATAGTGTTCTCGAATCCTTTTAGACAAGATAGCCGTTGAATGACTAATGTACCTGGCTGGTTAGATGCGAAATCTTGTCCCGTAAGGCTTCTGCAGACCAATGGACGACTGGCTGGAGAACACTATTCTTACCCTTTCTGCTTAGGATATGTCTTATCAAATGAAGTCGTGCAATTTACGCTACTAAATCTCTTAATAATCCTTATTCTACATTTATCTTTTATTTATTTATATTTTTTTCAATAGGAAGGTGTTAATTGGTTATGCTTTCTAAATCGTTACGGTTTAAACGGTATCCTATGCGATGATTTAGGCTTAGGTAAAACACTTCAAACTATCTGTATCCTCGCGGGTAGTCATCATGAATTGAAACAATCCTTACTATCAAAGAAAACAAAACAGTCAAAAAGTAATAAGGAGGAGAATGCATCATCGATGAAAAAGTTGAAATCAACTACTGATAAAAAGAAGAAAAAACCGTCGAAATCGATGCCTACTTCTTCAATGAAAAAAGAATTAGATGAATCGAATCAATCACCCGTAACAATGAATGATGAGTTGTCTAACAAAGAATTGGGATTACCTCTTTCATTAGTTATCTGTCCATCTACATTATGCGGTCATTGGTCGCATGAAATACAACATTATGCACAAACAGACGATTTAAAGCCTCTTATCTATGCTGGGAATCCAGCTGTTAGACAAAGGTGAGTCGTTGTTTGCCTTTTTCTACTGTGTTTCTGTGTAATTGAACTGTTTCAGTTATTGATTTGTGCGTTTAGTGGGTTTAGTGGTGGTAGAATGGTTGCCAATCAAGTACTTGGTCCTGGGTTCGATTCCCGACTGATGCACTCGTAAACCTCGCTTAGCTGATAGTGTAATCCGTATAAAGTGTGGGGAGGGAGGAAGGTTGGATGAGAGTGTCTAGCAACCCCACCCACCCCCCTCGTTGTTCATAAAACAACCCTACCTCTACTGAAACTGTAAAGCTCAACCTTTGAAGCCCTATGTTTTACTCAGGACCCAATAGAATGAAATTTAGATGTGGTTGTGTTCTCTGAGCTGAGGGGTTTTTTGAGAAGCTTTCAATGACCATCTTCAGCGCATACTTCAATTTGAGGTAATCATGTCGATTTCTCCACGAGTTTATTAGTCATCTCTCCTGGTGGGTGACCTTGAACGCGACTCAGGTTGTTTTTGTGTGTTTTCACACCCTGTAGTCTACACTCGTATTGGTACTGATTGTTTCCTTGACCTGAAGTTTGACACTTTGTGTGTGAGATTACCTTCTTATCGATTGGTAGAATTTTGTCTATCTCGATGTGTCTATTGATTGATGATTCATTGGAATACCAGGCTTCTAAAAATTCTCTGGCATTCCTGATGTTTCCTCTGTGTAATATCTGAACATTGTGCCAGTTGAATTGATGTCCGTGGTTGTCTGTATACAGTGAAGCGATATGAGGGAGTGGATGTCATGTCTTTTAATGGCTAGTTTTATGCTCATGGATACGAAGACGAAGACTTCAGATCAAGGAAACAGGCAGTACCAATACAAGCAGCCTAGAGGGTGCGAAAACACACAAGAGCAACCAATCACGACGTTCAGGGTCATCCACCAGGAGAGATGACTAATAAACTCGTGGAGAAATCTAAAAGCGCACTTCAACAAATTGAAGTATGCGCGTTGAATATGTGTTGGCCTTATGGTGTTGGGGCAATGAAAGCTTCGCAAATAAGCCATCTAGCTAGCTCAGAGAACACAACTATATCAAAATCATTCATCTGAGCTATAAATCTTCGTCATTATAAATTCAAAGTTACCAGTGTGCTTGTTTTACTATTTGTGTAAAGCCATTTGTATTCCAGTTAAATATGTGTTCAATCCATGGAAAGACACACTTTCGTAGCTTAGTCATATTGTGTATAACATTCAGTCTTTTATTGCTTTACATTCCGAGTGCAGCGAAGGGCTTCAAAGGTCGACCTTTGAAGTTTCAGTAGTATTGGCGGTAGTTTTCTTTATTTACTTCCTTGGTGAGGTATCATAAACAATCAACCCTAAGTTCATCTTCCTATACCTCTTCTGAGCATATAGCCCTAACCCTGTGGCTCTGTGTCCTTATTAAATTCTTATTTTACTGGGTGGGGGACAACGTAATGAAAGTGTGTATATTGTCCTGCCCATGGGCTTTTCCTATGCAAATTTCTCTTTATACTACCTGTTACAAACCGGCCATAAAGCTAATATTGAAGAGTCCTTCTTCATCATCATCATCTACCGGGTACCAAATAGATTGCCAAAATCATCCAGGAACAACATACTACAAACAGCAGAGAATATTGCGATCCGCATAAAACAACCACTGCTCTTTGTGCAGAAAAAAATGCAATTCCAGCTAGCCACTACTACTGCCCTGGCCGGCCTTCAGTGGAGACTATAAATTCATGAATTTGTATCATTATCTTTCCTAATTTTCCTGTCTGACACTCAGTTTATTGTTATGTTGGTGCTGTCGAACTGTAATCCATTGATATTATTATTATTATTGATTCGATGTTATTTAAACAACATTAATGTCAGTGTTAATAACACTAATTCATTCATTCACTATTATGGATGGATATATAACTGTAGAACCTGCTGATGACGAAGAGCAGGTTATCGAAAAAAATATTCTTTGTTCAGCAATCATTTTTTTGAAAATTTTAATGAACATTTTTAATCGATTAACCTATAGCAAATCATCATACTTTTTATAATCATAATGCGTCCCGGTCACCTTAGATCATATACAGTGTGAAATGAATCCGGCAACGTTGAAAGCATATAAACATTCGCATAACATTACTTACTTACTTTACTTCGGCTATCTCCTACGGGAGGATGAGCCGGCTTCATGAACATCTCGAATCATCGCTGCCCAGGAGCGGCGATCTGACGCAACGTTTTGCGACAGGGTTATCCAATTAAGAGAGTTCATGAAGTTTCATGGGAATTTGGTACGAGTGATGTTCCCAGAATCGCTCGGCCTTTTGTTTGAGAGTGCAGCTCTAGCCCTTACACAACCAAGTGTGACCTGCAAGGCAGTAGGAGTGGAGTAGGGAGTCCACTATCCATTGGCAGCCGGTGACCGGAGTTCGGTTCATACGCCTTTTTGAATGGGGCCAGACATCCAGGACATCCAACAAGCCCTTTGTCCATACGTTTGCCGGTGAGCTGCAGTGAGCTTCATACGCCAGTCGTTGGAGGTTTGGAATCAGGGTTTAGCCATCTCCCCTAGACTGTCATCCAATAGACAGTCAACCCGGTGAAGAGCTCCGGGCATCCGCTTTCGCCCTCTCACTTTGGTGAAAAACACCTCCGCCACGTGAAGGCAGTGAGTAGGACTTCCTCAGGAGAGGCTATGTAAGACGCCTGGTCATATGGGAGCATTTCGAGAGGTGTGCGGAAGGGTGGCCAACCCGCAGCGCAAGGCACCCACCCCCGACCATCCTGAGGCATAACATTGAATAGGAACAACTGAACAATACACAAGAAGCGAACAGATGAGATCCACAATGTTAAACGTGTATTGACGCTATCAAAATGGTGAATCCTGTTTGATAAAATAGCCATGTAAATATTCACAAAAATAGCTGTATGCTGTCTATCAATTTTATCTAGGATTTCGATTTATTGATTTTTTCTTGGCGGTTGTTGTTGTCGTTGTTGCTATTTTCATTCACTGTGCTGTGATAGAGAAGTAAACCTACCTTTCAATATACGCTTTAGATTTATTGAGGATAGACTCCTAGTTGGCTGTAGAACTATGATTTGCTTGGTCTAGACTGTCGACTTCCATAACCCAGTAGGCCATGGGCTCGAACCCTGACGTACCTGCTTAGGTTTGAGCAGCACTTAACACACTAGGTGTGGCTCACTGCCACTGGCTTACTGATTAAATCGCCAGTAGTATTATAATCTGCATCGCTGGGTAACAGATCGATAACAGATCAATACGCAGATACTTTTACTGACAACTTTCACAATTCATGTGTATCATATATTTCTTTTTCTTTTTGTTGTTTTCCAGCCTTCTTTCCAAGTTTCATCAATACGATGTAATTATAACATCATATGATTCAGTTCGAAGTGATATAGAATATTTTCAGTAAGTTTACTTGTGTGTGTGTGTGTGCAAGTTTTCACCTTTTTGATATAAATTATTATAACTGCTATTATTCTCTAAGGGGTTTCTCAGTGGAACTTAGGGCTTCAGTTGTCCATCTCCGATTCATCCTGTCCTTTGAAGTCCTTTTTATCTGGTTCCGTGATTGTTCATAAACTCTCATCCTTGGTTGTTCAACTCGTCGTTTCCCACTTTGGTGTTCCACTTTAGGGCGCCAGCCTGACGCGTGATTTCATTCAACAATTTCTCCATTTTCTTCGGGTATATTTGTTGAAATATCAGTTCTTGGTTGGATTGGTAAGCTGGCCAGATTTCCTTGTTGGGTGGTAGTCTTTCTAGCGGTTTGATGTGCAGTGTGTTGAGTCAGCGAAGGCAGTTGTTGATGAAAGTTTGCCGTAGTAGCCTGTTGGGAATGCTCTTGTTGGCATACTGAGTCGCTGAAACATAAAGAACTGACTTGATATTTGTGTTGAAAATCTGAATCTTGTTCCTTAAACTGAATATTTTCCGGATACTGTCTTTTAAAACATCTTCATTTGTGCCGATTGTCTATAGTTGAAACGATTCTGCCTAGTTAAGTGGAAGAAGTCACCAGTTGATGGGTGATTGTTGTTGTTGTTACTGTTGGTTGCTGGGTATGTTCTTCACCTCTGTCCTCCCTCCCTTTGTTCACCTGAAATGAATGACTTATTTTTGCAAAAGAAACAGTCAAAGAAGACCCGATGGATGCAAAAAAGTGTAAACTATTCACTGAGGTCATGAATGTTGCCTTTCTGTCGATCGTCCATATATTTCATGTTTTTGATTTCAGTTTATACTGGGATGAACTTATCAAGTATTTTCATTCAAGTGTTGGTTGGTTTGCAAAGATTTGATTGGTTGGTTTCACAGCTTGACCATGAAGTGACATCGGCTAGAGAGAACGATTGGAAAGCCAACTGTTTCGTCACCCTCTCTCAGTTTGAAACTGACTCTTCAGCAGTATACACCCACTCCATAGCCAGGGTTCGAACCCAGGACCTTCGAGTTACAAGGCGAACTAGCTCGTAGACCATTAAGCCACTAACGGGACCCACCAATCCAATGGCCAGTCAGTCCATGAATTCCAACTTCTGCCAATTGACGCACGATATACAGCTCGACTGGCACTAGCCACCAATGTCATCACTGGCGAGTATTTTTCCTCATACCTGACCACCTGCTGTATCCCACTCTAACCGATGTCAGCTGATGGTTAAATCCTGAAACCAATCAAATCCCTGCAAACCAACACTTAACTTGAATATCAGTCGGATGCTCACTAGAGGTGACTGACCCTATTCAGTTAGGCAGGTAGTTTTACCTGAGTTCTAGTGGAAAGTCGTGACCAGCCAGTGAGGTACAGCAGGTGGTCAGGTGTGTGGGGACAAATACTCACCAGTAATGACATTTGTGGCTGGTGTCAATCGCTCTATATCATGATAATGAAAAGATGTTAAGTAGGTTTCTCTAACTCATATTGTTTCATCATGATTATATTATTATTATTTTTGTTCCCTTGGGTTCCTAGTGGAACATAGGGCTTCAACTACATGTCTCCACTTGCTTCTGTCTTCTCCTGTACTTTTCACCTGCATCCATGTTAGTCCATACTGTTTCAACTCCTCTTCACACGATCTCCTCCATGTCACCCTTGGACGTCCCACTCTCCGCTTCTCTTTCAACATCCACTCGATGGTCTGACGCGAGATGTCACCCAACGGCCTCCTCAGCGAGTGTCCAATCCATCTCTACTTTCTCCTACATATTTGTTGGGTGGCGATTGGTTCTTGTTATATTTGTTCCCATAGTTTCTTGTTGGTGATTCTTTCCAGCGGCCATCTGATCTTGAGTATAGAACGAAGACAGTTCTTGATAAAGGTCTGCAACAGGCTGTTGGAAATATTCTTTGTGACCCGCCAAGTTTCTGATCTGTATAGAAGAACTGACTTGACGTTTGTATTGAAAATCCGAATCATTTTGTTGTTGATGCTGGGTGACGAAGATTTCCAGATTGGTTTGAGGTTGATGATACATCATGATGAAGAAATAAATTATTGAACTAAGAAATCATTCTGCAGTGTACTGTTAAATGATTGACAAGATACAATTGAATATTGGCTCATTGATTGAGTTTTAGTATGTAGAACTTTGCGGAGAAGTACAACCCTCTCAACTTTCCACATTCCATGTACCACAGGATAACTGAGAAAAAACGGGAAAAATAGGAATTCAAAAGAACCGCAATAGAGAAGAAATGCGCCGGAAAAAAAAGAATAGTGACATTGGAGATCACAGAGTGAGAATGCATGTGGACCACTGAGAACAATTTTCAGCCTTATCACCAATAACCTCTTGCCATTGGTTCGTAGAATCTCGAGGATCCCAACCATACTGATAACCTCCCTATGTGACTCAGATAAACAGCCAATGACTTTTCGGACTGATGACGCGTTTTGGTTTCGACCACCGTTTACCCTTTCCTAGTTTTAATCCTAAGGGTATTACCGGGGGTAATGTCTAGTCATCGAAAGACTACACTTCTTGTTCTCTTTTATCGTGGTATCACTTATTTATTGATTAATTTATTCGGGCACACACTTGGTGTAATATGAGCACTATGAGGTGAGCTACAAAAGTGTGAGAGAGATGAAACACTACCCAGAAACTCACATTCAAGTAGATGATTGTCTCTTAAACAACAACTGCTTCCCAAAACTTTGACTAGATGTTTGATCCACAGAGCAGAGTTCCAGAGGAACGTTCCTATAATTGTCGATGACCAAAACAAGTTCTTATGCCATTCGTTCCTTTCAGATTTCTAGAACCTATTTGTGACAGTCATAGATTTGGAGTTAGGTTTTTCCAACTACACTAGGTGGATGATCTCCTCCTCCAGTTCTTCCCCCGATGATAAGTGTCGAAGAGTTACATTCTCTCTATCACTTTTGCGGCAACACACCTTCCAGTCACATGAAGACACTGAATACCACTTATCTGGTAGATACTGTGAACGTGTGATCATATGAGAGCATTTCGAGGGGGAGACGACGACAGTCTACCCACTCTCACTTACATTAGATCCTTTCTTAGATGGGAGGGGATCTTATCATAGTGATCAGGTGGGGGGGGGGACAAAGAAACTGGTTTCCAACAGTTTCTTAGCCGTAAAACAAAACTATCCTTTATCCTCCTCTAATATAATGTACGTTTTGCAGATATAAACGATTGTCACATGGTGTCATATATATTACACCCATAAGACTGCATAGGTAACTTGTGACATTATCTCCTTATCTCTTTTTGTTTTTATTCTCCTAAATAGATCGATCAATTGGAATTACGTCATTCTGGATGAAGGTCATATCATCAAAAGCAGTAAATCTAAGGTAGGCGAACCACCACCACCACGTGTTTTTTTAACGATTTTAATACTTCTTATCTTATTGATATCATGCTGTCTATTCCGTTGATCTATCTATCTATCTGTTTGTATCTAAATGAATGATTGTCTGTAGTCACATGGTGGTATGTTTTTGTCTTTATAAACTGTTGTCGTTTAAGAAACAGTCGAAACAATGTTCTTTTTTTCTGAACGTTTCGCTGTGTAAGCCACCGCAGCTGCTTCTTCTTCGGTGGCGGCCGCAGAATTATTCGGATCTTAGTAAGTATCAAAATATTATAGTCAGACATTTTACATAAAAATGGAAGTCAGTCCTTTTCGAAGGTCACTTTTCATCACACATATTTGTGATGATTCATCTCAAATTGTCATATATATCATATGATATCAGTCCGTGATCAACTCGTAAAACATAACTAATCCTTACAAACCAAACTATAGAAAATTATTCTGATGCTCACTAGTGACTTGCTACAGGTTGGAGCTTCCTGTAGTTCTAGTGAGAAGTCGTGACCAGTGAGGTCCAATTAGAAGTCACGTGTGTGGATGGATGTCCCACCAACGACAATAGTTGGGGTCGCGCTAAAATCACGAATCGGTAGAAGTTAGAATTCATGCGCTGGTCATTGAATCGGGTCCCAGTGGCTGAATGGTATACTAGCTTGCTGGCCTTGTAACCGGAAGATCCTGGGTTCGAACCCTGGCAGTGGGTGCGTACTGGCGATGATTCCCAAACTAGGATGAAACAGCAGCTGTCCAGTACTCCCTGGTTTTCAATGGTTCTCTAACTGATATCAGTCCGTGATCAACTCGTAATATATATATATATATATATATATATATATATATATATATATACGTATTTGTCTGTTTGAGTGACACATCAAAACATGATAATATTTTTACATCGATCACACTATAGCATTGATTTTTTTTGTTTTTCTCCCTCATCTGTTTCGCTTCGTTAGAGAGACTGCCATTTAGGTGGAGATAAGTCTATCCCTTCTCTTCTATTATTTACTGCATTCGATGTGGTTAAAATATGCAAGGCTGGCTTCAGAGGTCAGCCTTTCTCCGTGTGAACGAAAGTTAGAATTCATGGGTTGGCCATTAAGTTGAGTCCCAATGGGTGAATAGTATGCAAGCTTGTCTTGTAACTGAAAGGTCCTGCGTACTACTGATGGTGGGTGCGTACCGCCGATGATTCCCAAACTAGGCTGATGAAACAGCTATCCAGTACTCCAGTGCTGGTTTTCAATGGTTCTCTAACTGATATCAATCCTCCGTGGTCAAACTCGTATAAACAAATCTAATCCTTGCAAACGAAACTCTTGAAAGCTTCTTCCTAGAATTTTGACATTGTCAAAATCAATCTAATGTCCACTGTCTGTAGCATGCGTGCATTGCTAGAGCTGATCTTTTTTCTGAACTGTTAATTCTACTTCATCATTTCTAAGTGGACGTTTCGTGCACAGTGTATGTTCATTCACTGTGACCTTCACCTGTCTACTGCTCTACCTTTCCTATATGGCAAGCTTAACATTCTGAACACTTTATCCTATAGACACAGTTGTTGTTTTGTGTCATTTTGGGAACCATATCTTTGACACTCGCTCACCAAAGCTTTCTCTAGAGAATTAGAGGGCTTGAAATAGACTTTAATAATTATTATATGAAACAAGTAGTCTTTGAAGTGGTTCAGCTGTCTCTTTTCAATATGGAATGGCTATCGTCAATCGATAGTCAAGATTTTTCAATTTTTTCCTGTTTTTCTTTCTGGTCTTTTTCATTGATAATATTATTTAGCAGCTTTTTTGGATAATTAATTCCAATCAAAAGTTTGTTTTATAGTGAAGATCTCGTTCTTGATATCATCATGTTTAATTTCTCCATTGTCACCTAATTATTATTTTTCATCATTGATCATCATGCTCATCCCTTCTCCTGGCATATCCATCTTTTCACAACCTATTGTGTAATAGTCTAGCCTCCTTTCTCGAGATGTCAAATATTAACTTGGTAGGTGAACACAAACATGAACTATTGAATATAAAAAAGTAGAGAAAATTTGCAGCCTCCCCCGCGGTTTTTTTTTGTGTTTTTAGTATGAAATTGTCGCTCTGAAGATTTCGCCCTCAGTAGGAGAATGAATGTTGCTCTTTTTAGCCCTATTCAGCTCAGATAACTTAGCGAAACCAAGCATTTTTCAAATAAGTTCGTTGGGATTTGATTTGTTTTCATTGTCACCGCGGATTTATATCGCTGAAGAGAGGGACAGAAAATCAGTGACTACTGGACAGTTGTTTCGTCCTAGGTCGGGACTCTTCATTAGTGGCCATCTGTCACCTCACTCGGGATCGGACTCGGTACCTTTAGAGGTTATGAGGTCAATCTTGTTGACCATTTAGCCCACTTAGGTTGGAATTTAATGACCTATGTATTCTAATTCCTGTTATTCACGTGATTTCTATCCGTGATCAAGCATTAAGCCAATCAATTCCCTACAAGCCAGTTCTTGAGAATAAATCTGATGGTCACTAGTGACTGTTTACAAGACAAAGTAGCCTGGAAATCTGGTGATACGTCGTGTCTAGTGGGGTCCATTGGAAGAATACTCACTGATGATATTGGCTGATTGGTTGTGTTAAAATCGTGAACTAGCATAAGTGTTACTATTCATCAGTCACTGAATTCTATACCAGTTGTTGGATAGTCAACGAGCCTCACTTCGTAATCTGAAGGTCCGGGTTTGACCCCTCGTTAGGTTTTTGGATGCGTCTTGCTGAATAGCCGCAGACTATAGTGAAATAGCTTTCCAGTACTTCCTGGTTCGTCACTTTGTTTTACTGTCTTTTAAATTGTAATGATTTATATCCTAGACTGAGTTGGACAATATATTGAGCAACTGAGTTGTGCGGCTTCCCTTTGGCACACCAACTAGAGGGTTTCAAAACACGAAAGCTCTATAACACAATTAAATATTATCTCAAAGTGTTATGTCATCCATTCACGACCACCTATCCCGGTATTTCAACTAATCCTACAGATTGGTTGGAGGATTTCATCATGAGCTGACATCGGTTAGAAGACCATTGGAATACCTGTAGGGTATACTGCCAGACAGCTGTTTCTTCAGCCTAGTTTGCGACTCTTCATCAGTACGCACCAACCGTCAGGGTTCGAACCCAGGACCTTTTGGTTACAAGGTGAGTTAGCGCGTAGACTATTAAGCCACTGGGACCCAATCCAATAGCCAGTCAGTGCATGAATTCCAATCTCGTTATAACAGAGCTAGAAACATTATAACATATAATGATAATGATGATATGAAGAACGAGATAATCAATATAAAGCAAATTCTTTAGTTCAATTTTAGATTCTCCCGTCGACTGATTTCACCGAAATGCTTTAGCGCAGATGCTTCGACGATGTTTGGGCTTTTAATTAGAATTTAATTGGTCGATGGTGAATAGCAATGGAATCCAGGATAACGCGCATTTCGTCCTATTTGGGACTAGTCATCTGGATCCAATCAATCGACGGGAAAATCTAAATTAAACTAAATAATCAATACGACCTGTTGCACAAGAGGCAGTGACTCTCGAGGCCCAAGTGGTCTAGTGAATAACACATTTTGGCGTTTAAAACTATGGGCACTGGGTTCGAGCCTCGTTGGAGGGTACACCATCACTGACTGACTGGGGAATGTAGGTACATCCAGCTGACTAGACAGTCCCAAATAGGACGAAATGCACATTATCCTGAATTCGACTGCTAGTTTCTATCCACCGATTAAAACAAACTTTTGATTGGAAATATTTATCCGAAAAAGCTGCTAAATAATATTATCAATAAAAAGGAACAGATGGGAAAACACGAAAAAATTGAAAAATCTTGACTATCGATTGACGAGAGCCATTCCATATCGAAAGGATACGGTTGAACAATTTCAAAGATTACTTGCTTTATATAATAATTATTAAAGTCTATTTTAAGACCTCTAATTCTCGTGAGAAAGCTTTGGTGAGTGAATGGCGAAGATAAGGTCTCCAATATGTCATAAAGAAATTGTGTCTATGAGATAAAATGTTCAGAATGTGAAGCTCGCTATATAGGAAAGGGAAAGTAGTAGACAGGTAAAGGTCAGAGTGAATGAATATAGGCTGGCTGTGCACGAAACGTTGACCTAGAAATGAGGAAGTAGAATTAAAAAGTCTAGGAAAAAGATCAGCTATAGCAATGCATGCATGCTATAGACAGCGGAAGCAAGATTGATTTCGAACAATGTTGAAATTCTAGGAGGAGGCTTTCATTCAACATACAAACAAAGGCTGACCTCTGAAGCCAGACCTGCATATTTAAACCACATTGAATGCAGTAAATATAGGAGAGAAGGGATAAACTTATCACCTATATCGCAGTCCCTCTCTAATGAAGCAAAACAGGTGATAGAAAAACGAATTCACGCCTCTGGTGTGACCGATGTAAAAATATTATCATGTTTTGACGGGTCTCTCATACAGACAAATATTCATATATGACAATTTCACAATAAAATCAAAGAATTCATATATATAAATTAAATTACAATAGACAATAAATATCAGTTTGCTTGTGTGTGCGTATATGTGTTAAAGTTTGACAGCGCTTCAGCTGTTTATCTGCTTTCACAGACAATAAAAAATATCACCAACGTACCTTAGGTATACTTCCATTTGTTGTATATGGTGTTACAAAAATGCCGGCTTCTAGACCTGACAAGAATAAATCTTCAAAAGTGGTTCCAAGGATCTTCCGATTGCTTCGCCATCGACTTGACGGAATAGACGCCTATCGAATTGGATATTTTCAGTAAATAAAAGTAACAATTTCCTCGATTCCGATGTTCGAATGGGTGTATGTCTTCAGCTTGTGTACAACTGTCTCAACGATTGGAAAATTTTTTGAGAATGAGGAATTAACATTGAAAGAGACCAAATGCTTACCAGTTACATTCAGGTCATTAATTTGCTTGACAAACTGGGAAGCCGTGACCAATAGGGTACAGCAGGTTGAAGATGAGGCAGTAACTCATCATCCAAGAAGACAATGAGAAATGGTGCGCTATGTCATGCGTGAATTGCAGAAGTTAGAATTCATGGGCCATTGGATCGGGTCCCAGTGGTCAAGGTCTACGAGCTAGCTCGCTTCTAATCAGAAGGTCTGATTCAACCTCAGTGGGTGGTGAGTGTGTACTGCTGAAGAGTCTCAAACTAAACTGACGAAACAGCTGTCCAGTACTCCCAGCTGGTTTTCCAATGGTTCTCTAACTGATGTCAGCTCATGATGAAATCCTCCATGCAAACTGTAATGAATCAGACATGATATACTTTCCAAAGCCTTTTCGTAAAGGCTGCAATAATTCACGAAGTCACTGTGCTAATTTGTGGTATGGTGATTTTGAGATTGAGAGTATGCCTGAAGGGCGCTCGTGATTTGTGTATTTTAACACGTCTGTATAATTTTTGGATCTGGCTCCCAATGTATTTTCAAAAGTATATATATATATCCCTGTATGTAGAGTATTCAGCTGAAGAGTTCTACGAAAATTCGATGAATTCCTTAAATCCTGTTGTTGCTTGTTTTTCTGCAATGTTTGATAAATAATGTTCAGCCTTGATTATTATTTTTATTATTTATTGATTTATTTATTTTGTTAAAGGTTACACGTGCTGTGAAACAATTGATTGCTCAACATCGTCTTATCTTGACTGGTACACCGATACAGAATAGAGTCTCTGAACTTTGGTCATTATTTGATTTTTTAATGCCGGAGTTTCTTGGTACTGAACAACACTTCCTGGCTAAATTTGCTCGTCCAGTAGCTGTTAGTCGAGATGTTAAGGCATCGAAGGCAGATCAACGTGCAGGTAGGTGATTGTTATGCATGCCCCCACCACCCCCTCCGCCCCAACTTTCTTTTTATTTGTATTTGCGTGTGTGTGTGTGTGTGTTTATTTTCAATTGTGTACAAGTGTAGTGTGTAAATATTACTAAAGAGTTGGTTTGCATAAGATTGTCTCACTTACTAGTAATTAACGCTTACTTTGGTAATCCAATATATGTAAGCCGACTTTGAAAAGGCCTTCGACAGCGTCGACCGAGAGGTGCTTTGGAAACTACTTCGATACTATGGGGTGCCACCGACAATTATACATCTCATCCAACAGCTGTACGATAATGCTGCATGCCAAGTTATCCACAACGGGAAACTTACGGAATCCTTCGAAGTGAGGACAGGAGTAAGACAAGGCTGTCTGTCTACTATCTCCAATGATTTTCCTGATTGCAGTAGATTGGATAATGCGACAAACAGCGGGCAATGAGGAAACAGGCATAAAATGGACTCACACAAAGAACTTGGAGGATCTGAACTTCGCCGATGATATATGTCTGATTTCCCACAAACTGGAAGATATGCAAGCGAAAAGCAATAAGTTGGCAGAAGGAGCATCAAGGATAGGACTTCAGGTGAACATAGAGAAAACAGAGGCGATGAAGATTCCTGGGTTACACCACCAACAGCAACAACAACAACTGACAACAATCAGCATAAATGGGAGGAACCTGAAAGAAACAACCTCTTTTACCTACCTGGGAAGCATCGTTTCAACTACAGGCGGACGGAACTGACGAGGATATCAAAGCAAGAATCGGAAAAGGAAGACAAGCTTTCACTACTCACGTCAAGTCTGTGTGGAGGTCAACAGCACTCAGCATCAAAAATAAGATCCGGATTTTCAACTCCAATGTGAAGTCAGTCAGTGCTACTATACGGATCAGAGACTTGCACTGCGCGTCATAAAGAGAATCTCAAACAAACTACAGACCTTCATTAACAGTTGTCTTCGCTCAATACTCAAGATCAGATGACCAGTCAGAAAAGATCAGCAACAGAGATCTCTGGGAGCGAACGAACCAGGAACCGATTATGAAACAAATATGCAGGAAGAAATGGAGATGGATTGGCCATACTCTGAGGAAACCATCAAGTGAGTGACATCACACGACAGGCCATCGCTCGAGTGGAACCCGAAAGGGAAGCGGCGAGTTGGTCATCAGTGCAAGGGTGACATGGAGGAGGTCATGTGAAGAGGAGATGAAAGCATGTGGGCAGACATGGAGCCAGGTGAAGACTCTAGCAGAGAACCGAACGCAATGGAGACGCACGGCTGAAGCCCTATATTCCTCTAGGAATTAAAGGAAACAATAATAATATAAAACGATTATCATTTAATTGTTGTCATCTATTTTCTCATGATTGTATCCATGCTCTTCTAATGTATTAATGATCAGTTAAATTGGTCTGACTTCAGTACTCTGTTCAATTTAAATTGGTCATAGTTTGAAATGTACACTATTCAGTCAGAATGTACTATAGTATACGGTTGATGCCCATTGCCCCCATTTCTGTCTAATTTCAGATAATATAGTCCTTCTAGGCGAAGACGCTGACAAAATGAAGCTGAGTCTTCTGAACACCTTCACTATAAATCTTCGGTTATTTGCCATCAAATGTAAGATGGTGCGACAGGACTGGACTACATTGATTCCTAGCTTATAGATAGAGAGTGAGGTGGTTGGTGGAGCGTGTTGACCAATTCACTCATTTGGGAAGTTGTATCAGCCAGCCAACGCCAGTGGGTTGATCTGATCGCTGACGAAATCTCAGCACGGATACAGAAGGCTCGTTTAATCTACTCCATAGATGGCGTAGATGTGGTAGGATATCACTAAACGAACTCAGAAAAATAACAATATGTTTTGGTGGACACTAGAAAAAGGCAATCGAAGAACAGAACTGTACGAAGAATGCTTTAAGCACTGTGCAGAATCCAACAAGCTATCGAATGTGATGATATTCGACGAATTTGCAAAGGATGTGCAAATAAAGCATTGAGGCTATGGTGTAGCAAAGATGATATTGATGGATCAAGATCTTTGTTTTGAGAGTGAAGAGTTCAAAACTGAATTAAAGCAACGCCATATCATTTTCAGACAAACGACTTAACAGAAAGGAATAGTCGTACACTCAGGGAGTGGCTAGCTGCGAATAGAGGCAACTGGGAAACTGACCTACCGTTGGTATTACTGGCACATCGTACCACAGTAGGAATGGTCAACAAGCTTGGTTTCATCTGTCTAAGAGCCTTAGGTTCAATCTCTGCGGGGAGGGGGTCGGTGGTGCACACCACTGTTTTTAGTGCTCCCTGGTGATTTTCACTGATCTCTCCTCTAACTAAACTGTTGTGTTAGTTCGTAAAGTAATTATAACAATTTGAAATTTTATTCCAAAAATCGATAATTTGAATTGCTATTTATTAATTACTTATCCATTAATTTAATTAATTATTCATTAAATTAATTAATTATTAATTACTTATTCATTATTCTAATCTAATCTAATAGGTCAATTGGCATTGGAAAAACTTCATCGACTTGTTTTACCATTTATGCTAAGACGATTAAAAGAAGATGTTATGCAAGATTTACCACCGAAAATAATACAAGATTTTGCTTGTAAAATGACTCCGATACAAGTGAGTTAGTTATATACACGCTGTCTCTTTTATCTCCAAGTAGAAAATGTTTGCGTGCTTTTGTAAAAAAAAGTGTATGACATTTGTGACAAGTGTGAATGGCTGTAGGACTTCATAATTGCAGTGTGTGTGTGTGTGGTGGAATCCAAGATAAAGGCACATTTCGTCCTATTTCGGACTGGCTTGTCAGCCGGTGGATGTACCTGCATTCCCCAGTCAGTCAGTTGGTGTGATGGTGTTCCCTCTACCATGCTCGAACCTAGTGGTCAAAGTTTTAGATTGAAAAGAACAAGAAGTTTAGCTCTAATCTCTAATGATAATAAATTTTCAAAACCAGACAATGAGACAATGAAACTACGGGAACTCGGCTCGAGCCTCGGTGGAGAGGACACCATTACTGACTCACTGAGGAATGCAGCTACATCCAGTTGACGAGCCAGTCCCAAATAGAGGACGAAATGCACGTTATCCTCGATTCCACTGCTAGTCACTATCCATCAATTGACTTCAAGTTACATGACCAAACGTCGTGGGAGCATCTGCTCCAAGAGCTGAAATATCAACCTGAGACTGAGTACTTCAGTCCAATCAGTCGCCGGGAAAATATGAACTGAATTAAACAAGGTGTCACGGAAATTAATCCTAAGATCCTATTATTTCTGAAGACGCTCCAAATTGACAACCATTAAGCACAGATATCTCGACTTTAATTCCAAAATACAATGGATGACAAGAAATTTTATTTTTCGATTGTTAAAATCAATATTCTATACTAAGTCTATAAAAAAAGAATGTTTTTACAGGGAATGTATTGTACTTTTGTTCGTATTCTTTCGTCTTCTTCATCTGACTTGTACACGATCAAATCACTCGCGCCAATGGCGACCAAAGCCAATAAACAAATGTTCAATATTCATAGTCATTGAGACAATGTGTTTGTTGTAAATTATTAGAATTCAGATGACACTGAATGTTATTCATCGTATCCCACCGAATCTTTCCAATAGACTTCGTGTTCGTCTACTACACACAGCTGAGGCGATAGGCATTCGAACTATTAAACCTAAACTATGTATTCAAAAAGTTCGTGCAGCCATTATCCTTTCCTTGACCAATTAAGACATAACCAACTAATGACGTCTACACCACCCTTTGTTTATATTTTCAACCCCTTTCTTATCATCCCTTAATCTTATATTCATTATAAACGTGTTTCATTTCCTTCCCTTACAATCTAAAATTACTTAATGGGTTCATTTGTTTTTACTAGCCTTTATCGACTACCTCTACCTGAACATTTGTTTGTTTAATCATGCTGTTTTTTTTCATTATTCGTGTTATCACAGATTGCCTCACTTTTTCATCCTTGTTATTGAATGTTGTGATTAACAGTCGAAAAAAGGTTCTTTCAGTCTCTGTTGATTGATCGCTGGAGAGTATTCAGTGTTACTTGCCTTATTAATGATAAAATATAACATTTCAGGGTAGGTTTTCATCCCCTACTGGCATCGGTTAGAGAATCTTTGAAAAATCAGCACTGGAGGCTGTTTCGTCTGCCTCGTTTGCGACTCTTCATCAGTGCGCACCCGCCATCCCACTGCCAAGGTTTGAATCCAGGACCATCTGACTACAAGGCGAGCTAGCTCGCAGACCATTAAGCCATTCACTGGGACCCGCCAATCCAATGGACAGTCAGTCTGTGAATTCCAACTTCTGCCAATTGACGCACAATTTAGTGGGACTGGCACTAGCCAACAATGTCATCGGTGGTGAGTATTTTTCCTCACACCCAACCACCTCCTCTGTACCCCACTGGTTAGTCACGACTTCTCACTAGAACCCAGGTAACTACCCACCTACCTGAATAGGGCCGGTCGCCGCTAGTGAGCATCAGATTGATATTGAAGTCAGGTGTTGGTTTTGCAGGGATTAGATTGCATGGTCCCAATAGCATAATGGACACATCAGCTGTTTGTATACACAATTTTTTTCTGTCCAATTTCTTTTAGGACGTTTTGATCAAGTTTGACTTTTTATTTTATGTGTAACCCTATCACAGTATAATGAGAACCTTTAATCTTCTAAACAGGTTTCTCTTTGATGTGTTTTTTCTCCTCTGTTTTATAGTCCTTTAATTCTTCTCCACAGGTAGTTATTAACATTGTTTTTTTTAAGGAGAAGCTGTCCTGTAATTACTTTCCCTCTTATTTACCACAGTTTAGTCATTCAGTTAGAATAGTTATTCTCTTGTTTGTTGAATGTACATTTAACGACTCTGTTCTCCCTCTCTCTGTATTCAAATCACTTGATGATTTCAAATATACCTTTTTCCCCATTACACAGCGTAAACTGTATGAATCATTCCAGAAGACAGATGAAGGAAAACAGCTGATGAATATCGTCGGTTCAACTAGTGCCAGTGCCAGCAGTCACAGTGCCAATGCTACTACTGCCACTGGTAAACAACAGTCAACCTACATTTCCTCAGTAGTTGTCTCACATGGATTTCAAGCTGTACGATATTTTCAAGCTGTGTGCAATCATCCTTGCCTAGTTCTAAAGTCTGGTCATCCAATGCTTGATGAAATCAAATGGGAATTTGGCATTCAGTCGACGGATCAACTGAGGTCGATTCACTTGAGTGGGAAGTTGTTAGCTTTATGGTAAGCAGCAGTTTTGCAGACTAACAATCATGCGTGTAGTTGGTCAGTATAATAGCAGTTCAGTATTCGGGGTTTGTCATTATTATAATTTGTGATTGTATTGCTTCACGTGTTCCTTATGTTCTAGGTGATTTGGTCTACAAAACCAGTTTGATGTTTTGTGATGTGATTATTTGGAGAAACGGAAGGAAAACCGTTTATGTCCGTACTCATTTCATATAGTTGCCAATGTTTATTTTTTCTAAAGATTTCTCCGTGTAGCTTTGTACAGCTGATCTTAACGATTTTCTCATAGGTCGTCGACTGGTTTTTGTTTAGTTTTGTGATGACGTAATCTTATTTTGATATTAAAAGTTACTAATCAGCAAGCTATGGGCCAGTCGAGTTGTAATGGATTGGCTTAAATGCTCGACCTTTGCCTGGATGAGAGACTGACATGGGGTTTCTAATCTCCCATTTTGGTTTTTATTCCTTTACCTTCCCAGTGGAACATAGGGTGCCTTCAAAGCTAGAAGCTTCAACTTTCTGTGTTTATTTTTCACAAGGTGGGATTGCTAGTCGCCTCGTACCCAACCTTCTCTCTTTGCCAGTCTTATTACTGGTTTAGCGAGATAAAGGAGTGCGTCCAGTGGTGGGGGTTCGAACAGCGGATCACCTGTGTGCTTGGCGAGCATTCTGCTACTGTACCACCGACGCACATACCTGATACGATTTCAGTTAATTAATTGAATGAACATCAGTTTTACTCTTTCATCGTCAATTCCTGCTAACATCGGAGTAATCCACACAGGAATTTCGAGTTGAATTGCCAGGTGGTGCATTTCTACACTTGGACTATAGTTTACTAGTTGAGGAAAGAGGGCAGATTAGGCAAGTGGCTAACCAGCAAGCTCATTCAAGGAAACGGAAAAGCACCACTACTACCACTGCACTGGGATTGATTCAGTTTAGTTCAATCCTCAGTGTGTTGATTCAAGTTTCTGCCTTTTGATTCTCTACTGGTTAAAATTTGATTGTCAATTTGATGGTTCAAGGTAATTTCGATTTTGTGTGTAATCATACATATATATATATAAACTGAAAAAGACCTCTAATTGGTAGATGGTGCCTAGCAGTGGAATCCAGGATAATGCACATTTCGTCTCGTTTGGGACTCGTCTACTGGGCGTACACTGGGAAATGCGGGTACATCCATTTCCTGACGAGCCAGTCCCAAATGGGACGAAATGTGCTTTATCTTGGATTCCACAATGCTAGTCACCATACACCAATTAAATATTAATTAAATGCCCAGACATCATCGAAGCATCTGTGCAAGAAGCCGACATGTCAACTTGAGACCTAGCACTTCGGGCCAATCAATCGACGGGAAAATCTAAAATTCAATTTTAAAAAAGTCTTTGTTGTAGTTGTTGTTGTTGTGGTGGTGGTAATTTGTTTTCTGTGAATAGAAAATAAATTATCTCATTATCAATTAGTCATGTTGACAGTAAAATTACAGTTTTTTTAACTTATTGATTTATTTTTTAACAGTAAATATATTTTAATTACGAAATTCCCATTTTACGCATTTAGAAACAACCAAAAAACAACAGATTGAGCGAAGAAATACGCTTTCCTTTCCAATTTGTTCGCATTCATCATCGACTGGCTGACTGGCTCTGCACTACTGTATAGTTTTTTTTACATCAAATTTTGTTTTACCAATCAAGTGGTTATTTCTGTTCACAAGAATTATCAGATTTAGGTATGGGGGGGGGGGCTGAAAGTAAGAGGTTAAAGGTCATCAAAAACAGCTAACTCGCAGATGTTAGTAACAAGATACCTAAGTTTCGAAGGTGGTGGTGTAAAATAATAGTGACTCAGAAGAATTGAGTAAAATACAAACAGGTTGATAAAGTTAGCTAGTACTGTAAAAATTAACAAAGTCAAAATATAGTTACAAGCAGAGGAGAAAAATCGTTTTTAAAACTTAATACGTATTATGTAGTTGGCCATGGTGAAGAAAGGGGCTGTACAAACTTCTTTTGAACACACATACACACAGATATGGCTTGTGTTTAGATAAATTCCAATTACCTTTGCTGAATATAAAATTCTTACTGGTAAACCATGAGGCGAGAGATTGGGTGAAGTATGATTGGTAAATAACTTTAAAAGCTTTGTTAGAGTCGACTTGATGTCCAGGCAGTAGACACATTGACGCAGACGAAATTCACCAATGGACAAGAAGGAAATCTCATACACAAAGGGTTAAACTTCAAGTCAAGGAAACAATCAGTCCCAATGCAAGTAGCCTAGAGAGGGATGAAAAAACACAAGAGCAACCAATCAAGCTCAAGGTCACCGGGAGAGATGACTTATAAACTCGTGGAGAAATCTAAAAGCTCACTTCAACAAATTGAAGTATGCGTGCTGAAGATGTTGCCTAAGGGTGGGGCAATGAAAGCTTCGCAAATCAACCATCCATCCAGCTCAGAGAACACAATCACATCAAAAGAAAAGAAGTTGAATAGGCGTAATACGCTTACAGTAATACAGTTTAATGCATGAGTTGTCATCAGGATGCACACAGAAACAAAGGGGAATATGGAATTATCTAAGAGTTCTAAAACTAGCAAATGTTATAAGGAGGTCTGTTACGAATTCTCATATTTTCTACTGTTACACAATGCAGTTGACAATAACACCTGTTCTGTGAGGGTAATGATGCTACTACCTGGCTACTCAAACTTGTCTAGGTGGAGCAGGTTTCTTGAATCCATGTGACCCACAACCATTTGAACCACAGCTCCACGGATCTGTTCAAAGCTATACGCAACTACTTAGTTCTCTTTTGGTTTATCAATGTTTTCGATGTCTGGATGGAGGATTTCATCATGAGCTAACATCAGTTAGAGAACCATTGAAAAGCCAGGTGGGAGTACTGACAGAAAGCTGTTTCGTCAGCCTAGTTTGGGACTCTTCAGCAGTACATACCCACTCCACTGCCAGGGTTCGAACCCAGGACCTTCTGGTTGCAAGGTGAGCTACCTCATAGATCATTCACAGCCATAGGGACCTGCCAATCCAATGGAGAGTCAGTGCATGAATTCTAACTTCTGCCAATTCATGACATAGTACAGCCATTTCGCAGTGTCTTCTTCGTTTATGAGTTACTCCCTCACCTTCAACCTGCTGCACCCGAGTGATCACGGCTTCCCCCTAGAACCCCATATCTCTTTAACCGGTGCCAGTTCACATAAAGGAAATCCATCAGGAAGTCACTCAAACTTTTTCGTTCAACCAATGAATTTCGCGTAAAATTTAATTTACTGATTTTATTTTAACTTTTTTTGTGAAGTATGCCTTCTTTTCTTGTTTCTTTTTTGTTTTGATAAATATATAGCCGCCTGTTAACTGATTGTGGTTTTGGCAGTCCAAATCTTTCGAACAATATGCCCGGTACTAGTAGTAGCAGTAATGGTAACAATTCATCTCTTACATCGTCAGGTTCATCAACATCATTAGCTAATATCGCTTCTGCATCGAATGATTTCTATGCTAATCGAAGTTTACTCAGTCAACATCGAGCGTTGATATTTTTTCAAACACGTGAAATGTTACAGCTGACTGCTGATATGCTCAGGTTAGTTGATTAGTTAGTTAGTTAGTCAATCATATAGTTTTTTTGGTTTTTGAAAAATTTATTTTTTGTTTAACCTTATTAAGAAGTTGTGACCAGTGAGTGGGAGCCGTCATGTGAAGGTAAAGAGAATCGCATTGATTTCAGTAGTAGCAGTTTGAATTCGGTATTGAATTCCCACTTAAGTGGCTAAAACCAGTTTGAAAATCTTGCACTCAAATAAAAATGATTCTGTTGGGTGACATTTAAACCAATCAACCAACTCTCTTAGAGATAAATTTTGTCGGCTTAAGCACCCCCTAGATAGATCCAATTAAGAAACAAAAAAATATAATTTACCAAATACCATGCATGTAATGACTGTTAGTGAGATCAATCACATAAGCCCGTTGGACTATTAGATCGGGGTCAACTAGATTATTGGAACATAAAAATCTAGCTAGACATTTGTAAAAATTATATTTGTAAAATCTCAGCGAGATTGAAATGAGTAATTCCAACGTTTCGTTCGGCAATCTGGTCCGAACTTCTTCAGGGAAATTAATCGAAATTAACATAACAGAGGTTTATATATAAAAGGAACATCACTTGTTTTTAAAAACTTTGTCCAATCATGATTCATAAAACAAGTATAATAAACAAAATTTTATGAGCTGTGATCAAAATTTGACCTCGGACTTACAAATATTGGTCTACCTTTGTTAAACACTTTAAACAGAGTGTGTATGTGTGTGTGGGTAAACAGTTGTAAAACATTTCTTAACGTCTCCATAAGAAGATATGGACATTCGAGAATTTTGACCAAGTATTAATAATTAGTGATACATATCCATTTTTTATTTATTAATAAGGATTTCCTATGCATCAGCTAACATCACGCCTTCATGTCTGTTCAAACTGTTAGTATCTAGAATTTTATGATTAGACGTATTTTCAAAATTATGGTGTTTAGGATTAGAGTTTAGTAGAAGCACCCTGTCGAACTTATTGCTTTGTCTTCTTTCTGAAGATTGAGCTGCTTTATTCGACCTACTGGAGTTGTCAGGTGACTCGACAGCTACGGATTTAGGATATGCATTCTGTTGCAGACAACGGAGAGTGAAAACACGATGATTGTGCCAATTACACAGTTTCTTTGTTAATTTAATTCGATTGCAAAATAATTCAAATGAACTGTCGTCAAGATTTGACAGAATAGTTCTAAAATATTTGGGCGCCGAGTGAGAATTACTCATTTCAATCTCGCTGAGATTTTACAAATATAATTTTTTACAAATGTCTACTTCTCCCTCGGTGCCCAAATATTTTAGAACTATTCGGTCAAATCTTGACGACAGTTCATTTGAATCTAGCTAGACACCTAGAATAATTGACACTGGTAAGTTAAATAGCGTAAAATAACAGCTCAGGCATCACACTACATTCATTTGCATTTAATCATGTGTGGGACAGGGTGAGAGAATTAAAAAGTAATATAATTAGGTGGGGAGAGACAGACAGGTTAATCACTAAAGCTTTGTTCATCGATTCAACACCACACACGTGCAATCGAAATGGAGGAACGCATCACCTATACCGAAGATATGGAAAGTGTCAACAAACAACAGGGGAAGTTGGAGTGTTCGATGCGTTTCTATACATGAGTTCCAAACTAGGATGAAAGAGCTGTTCAGTACTCCCTGGTTTTCAG